AGAAATAAACTGTCGCTAAGCACTGCACTAAAATAGGATGCAACACTATAAGTTTTTTTTTTTGGTACTTACCTATTATCGCAACAGTGCCAACGTTCAAGATAAATCACCAAATTGGCAACCCCGATTTCGTATGTGTCGTACGCGCTGAATTGGCAACCATGTGGATACTTAACGTACAGTAGAATGTCATTTATCCGAATCAATTGGGACCGGCCACCGTTCGGATACGCGATTGTTCCGATAACCGAAAACCGAATGCGATCCATGCAGTATATGAAACCGGACACTATACGAATATTGAAAATCATCACATGCGGGAAACGTGTTTGAAGAAAAAGCAAAATAGGTGCAAAATGTCGCAATTTTACCTTTATTGTGGAAAATAATCACTTATTTTTTCCTGTACCTTCGTTTTTTCGCTGCAAGGTATCTGATTCTCTTGAACAGTAGTAGTTGAGTAGGACACCATTCTGATTGTTGTTCGTACCGCTCCATGGCTGTCTCTAACGTAGAAAATGTGTCAGCATTTGATGGACCCATGCTACTTGTTGTTGTTGTTGTCCTCGTCTTATCCGTTTCATCATCGACAGGCTCGGATTCTTGCACGGAAGTCACAATACCATCATCATTTAGCATTTGAAATCCACAGTCTTCTGCATCGCATGCCCTCCAAGTTCTTCAGCGCATTCTGGAAATCCTGTAATCGATTGGACAAAGTCGGTAATCTCCTCCCTGTGGTCGTCATTGGAGTCTTTTTCGTCTTCTAAATCTGGCCACAGCTTATTCCAAATCACACAACTGAAATTCCCCAAATATCCCTGACCTTCGGTTTTTCCGTCATTTTTGGCTTCACGCGAAACAACTGTAGAGCATTGCACTGTACGAAAACGTATTCATATACAGCACATGTAGTTGACAAAAAAAAAAAAAAAAACTGGTTCGGATATAGGATGCTCCGGATAATAAACGTCCGGATAAACAACGTTCTACTGTATTATCGCAGCCTATTGATGACATTATATGAAACGAAGCACATGGTTGCCAATCCAGCACGTACAACGCAAAAGTGGGCAGTTTTCATGATCTGGTGCACGAAAACCCCAAAAATGAAATTGCGCGACCCCCCTCCTTAATTTATGGCCTTCATAGGCTCCCTAGCCATGTTTTAATCAGTTTTTATCAGTACGTGATTGGAAATTTCCAACAGTCAGTGGCGCACACAAGGGGGTGTCCTAGGGGCCGGACGGCCCCCACCCCCATAGGGCTTGATTTTTTTTCGATTGATTGTAATTCTATGTATATATTACGTAAAATTTAGTTATGCATTTGTTATTAATAATTAATTTTATTAATTAATGCAAATTATTTATTCAATAATTAATTTTGTATTGTTTTTGTTCCTGAAAATCACAACAAAATCAAAAGAATGTTTGGCGGCCTATTGGGGCATAATACCAAAATGGGGTGGACTTTCGACCCTGGACCCTCCTTAAAAAATTTTTGTGTGCGCTGCATAGGAAATCGTGGTGGCCCAACTTGGCGAGTTATCAATAGAGTTGGCGATTGTTGCGATAATACGTAAGCACTACCATGTAATTCGTAACATATAATGTCGCCAATACGGTTGCGGTAATACGTAAGTACCGTTTTTTACTAATGCCGTAAAGAAAAAAAGTGCGTTCAATTAACCTTATTTATTTTTCATGATTACTTTCAAGAAATCTAAATAAGTGTAAATCTAATTTTAATATAATTTTTTTTAAAATTTATTATCTGTTACTTAAATCTTCTTTAGACCTGCCTGATATTTAAATATGTATCACTATTTTTTTTTTAATCATGCCGGAAAATCTCTGCTTGGAGTCTTCTGATCTGTGTTTAAGTATTTATTATCAATTCTCTGTATTTGTGTTCAACATCTGAATCCATTTTTTGGTTTGATTCCTCCTTAAGTGTTTTTTCCAGGACTTCTGGTCTTAAAAAACTTCGAATATAATTCAGATTATCGTAGTGAATCACCCACCTAGTTTGGGCAGCGTGTTCATCGTTCTCGATCTTCCTTTTTCCGGGTTCAAAATTTATGTCATAATTAATAAGAGCCCTTATATAATTCTGGTTGCTATCCATTTGAATGAGCCATTTCTTTTCGGGATTCTCATAAATTCCAACAACGTCATTATAAAAAGGATCTCGTGATATCCCATCACCGGAAGTTACAGAACTTTTTTCGTCTGGGTGAATTTCTGAATCGAATGCCAACAAATCGTTGCTTTTTGCTTCTTCCTTTGAATGTTGGTTAAGTCGAGACGGCTCGTTTGGATATCCATCTTGAAATCGAGTTGATTCTCCTGAATACCGATCTTGCAGTCGAGTTGATTCTCCTGAGTGCCGATCTTGAAGCCGATTAAATTCCCCTGAATACCGATCTTGAAGCTGATTTGATTCCCCTGAATACCAATCCTCAGATGAAGATGGTTCTCTTGAACGTTGATCTTCGGATTCAATTGACTCTCTTGAACGTCGATCTTCGAATCGAGTTCTCTGACTTGAACGTCGTCTAAATTGAATCGATTCTCTTGAATTTCGATCTTCAGGAAAAGTAGTTACTTCTGTTTGAGGATCTTCAAACCTACTCGGTGTTTTTAAAGGTTGGATGTCTGATAATGAGTCTTCTTTTACCCTAGAGTCCAATTCATCTAATAGTTCTTTTGTCATTTCTATTATACTCGATGTCTTAAGAATTTCCTTGGTACCTGAATCTATTACATTTGGTATATCATTAACCCCTACTTCTTCTTTTGTAGTGACCTCATTCGCAATATCACTACTCTCAAGAAGCTTTGGTGGCCAATGTTCATTGGCTAGCGAATAGTAAGACGGTTCTTTTAGTCCTCCTGATGCATCCCTTTCAGTGGAATGGTCTGCAAGTTCTTGATGATTCATGTCTGACTGTGATTGGCTTAGAAATCGTTTTCTTATGCCATTTAGTCCTTGACTTATGTTGGACAATGTATTTGAAGGTTCTTTTGCTGGAGCAGATTTTGCATTTGGGTTTTTTGGTAGTTGTACAGTTTCAGAGATATCCATACGACGTCTATTTTTTTGGTTCAAGAAATATTTTGAAAACTACTTTTCTGTTTATCTGGGCTTCTTAAAAAATACAATTTACTTGATATACTTGTCAAATGATTGCAAGATGGTAAGATGTGAAGCATATTTAAAATTTACAAAATTCATCGTTGCCATTTTGAAAGATGAAGTTAATCACTTTTGGGTAGCATTATTTTCATCCTACACTAACAAAATATTTCATTTCTAAGATAAAATGGTTGTAAAGTCCAAATTCCAAAAAGATTATTTTTTTTAATTTAAAAATATGACTATCAACTTATTCAAATCAAATATCCTGTTTAAATATCGGGCTACTACCTCACTATTTCTGCATTTTAGATTTCATTTATTTCCATGTATCCGTAAACTTTGTATGTGTGTGTGAATGATAATTTTTCTTTGCACATGAATATTAAAAAAAATTTTATAATCCAAATAAAAACAAAAATTTCATTACAGACATGTTGCATAACCGAAATTGATTCACATTAAATATTTGAACATTTACAATTCTCACAATAAGGAGGTGTGAATGCAGAGAGTAAGATGCTAGTTCATATATCGACCGCGTCATTTGATCATTGCTCGGATTTATCAGGTGCATTAAGTGGACCTTCAAGAGTCGGTTGCAAATAGCAGTTTAATATTTTCTGTTTTGATAGTCAAGAAACAAAGAAATTATTTTGATTATGATACACATGAGTTAGGTTTTATAAGTGAATCTCAGCACAAAACTTTTTGGAAATCGAGTTTGAAGAATTTGACTAACATTTTTTAATGCAACTCCAATAAAGTTTTATGATTCGTGTAATGAGATACAATTGATTTATTGATTTGATTACTTATTAGTTTCATACTTTGAGACTGCGCATGGGATATTGGCAACGGATCTCTTAATTTGAACCTCAGTCTAGTGACAAGGACGATACCTGAAAATGGCAACCCACTCTTCATACTTCCATTCCACGTTATTATGAGGGATTTGAACTTCGACAGATTAAATATGCATCAGCCCCTTTACACAGCAGGGCTGACTTCAGTAGCGCCAGGACTTGAACATACGACTCTACAACACTGGCCATCAAGACCAACTATCTATCCCCTTCGACAAAGGCCCTCGAGTATAGCTGAATTGCGACGTTAATATTCACTCATTCACCCAATTATCTACCGTGGCCGTATGTCTGAATGACTATCCTTTTTGAACATTGCTGCTTCTTCCTATTTTGGCATTTCAGAATCTTGTTCATAGATGTGTTCATACGTGGAATTAGTTATATCCAGTCAGACTGTATTTCAGACTTGTGTTAATACATGTCAAATTTTACGGTGTTAATTGCTTACCCTTAAATTCCTTGCACTTTTCTTATTTTATATTTTGAGTCATAATTTTATCATAAAAGTCAATATGTTTTGATAAAATTCGTTCCAATATCATTGTTCTGATAAATTTATACTTTCAATTCAATTTCAATTTTCGATTTTTATTATTTAGAAACGTAATTTAATTATTTACATCCAACTTTTTTCCTTTTCAATTTTAATGAATATTTAGACTTAGCCTCAAGTGTGTAATAAAAATATGTTCATTTATTACGTTTTTCAATTCCTACTATTAGTTCACTCCCTCCCTATATATATATATATATATATATATATATATATATATATTTATGAATATATCTTGTTCAAATTTTCAATCGTTAATGAAATACGTTCTACACATCCATGCAAGTTCAAATACATTTTTTTAAACTTGTAGTGGATGACACTTGATGTTAATACAGTTTTTTCAAACATTAATTCATTAATTAGATTAAAAAAAGAATAAATAGTAACAAAAAAATAGTCCAACAGCATATATAGGAAGGAAAATTGTTCATTCTGTCCCTGTTGTACAATGGATAGCGCATTTGACTTCTAATCTAAAGGTAGTGGGATCGAATCCCACCTGGGATGGCCTAATTTCTGAGAGAGAGAATGTGATCTCTTTTTTTACTACACTATTTTGTTAGAATAATTAAATTTAATGAATGAATAAATAGTAACAATATATATATATATAGTTCAACTCTCTATATAGAAAAGAAAATGGAAAATAGCTGTCTATTTTGTCACTTAATAGTGTGATTCTGTCATATGTATATGCATATTTCTATTAATTGTAATTATTTAATTAACTAAAATAAAGTTTTTCTTTGTTGACCTATATAGGAATGTATTAACAATTTTTTTTGTTATATTACTTGTTATATATACTGTCATGTTAAATCAAAAACTTTTAATTTTACAGAATGTATGAAAAGTTTCGTCCACCTTGAATGTGGATGCAATTCAAACCAAAGCTATACAAATAAAAATACATTTTACACAGTACTATACTACTACTGTGATACTACTGAACACTTTTATATCTTTTGAGTGACATTTTCCTGGTTTGGTAAAAATAGTCAGGTGGATTTTATAAATGAACCGAGTTTAAATGCCCCATTACATTCTGTATGAAATTAAAGTTTTTTGATGCTTAAACGGTTGCATTTCACTTAAATCAGATTCAATTTTTTCCGCTACAATTTTAGAAATGTGCTTCTAAGGCTACGAAGTCTTGTTTTTTAGCATTTGCAAGTCAGTTTGCTTTAATTTGTATATTTGAAATTAATATTTGAAATGACTTATAATATATTATTTATCTTCAAACATAAAACTTCAATTTCTCTCTATGCATTAATAATTTTCCAATCTTTTAACAAGTTACAACTCTAAATATCTGTTTCTTTGAACTTTTTTGGCGTCAAAAATAAATCTTCAGATTTAAAAAAAATCTTGCGATACTCCTCATTCATAGACAGGCGTACAATCATTTGGCGAAAACAAAAGCTAAATATCAAGCTTTCTTCTAAACTTCCGCAGCCAAACGCTCACCCACATTCACAAAAGGCGTGGGACGCTTTAGAATGCGTTAAAGTGAGTTAATCGCCCAGAAGAATCACCATCCCTGACTTTCTCAGTTCAAGGTGGCAAGTTATAATATATCTACCTCATAACTGGATGAGATGCACGATCTAGATATTCTACAAAGATATAAATAATTAAGCGAGCATAGTAGATTTCGCGCTAAAAGAAAAATTTCCACCGGCAGCTTTACCACCATGCCTGTGGGCGGTTGTCTCATCCCAGCGGGAGGCATTATTGACTTATTAGATCACGTATTGTTTGATCTTCCCTTAAGACCTTGAATGAGCAGGTCTAACGGTTTTCGTGGATCCCCACCCTGCCTGGAGGGCAAAACAATGGGAAGGGACCCATCACGCTTCGACCTTGCCTTCTGTCACTGGTGGCCAAGAAGAAGAGTGCCTCTGTCAACAAGGGAAAATCGTTTGGGCAGAAACCTGAGCCGTCAAACCTTTATCAATGGATGTGACGTTCGAAATTTTTTAAAAAAAAACTTAAGTGGATGATTCGTGGACGGAATTCAGGTCAACCTTTAGCCAACATTGCATGGGTTGGATATAGCTTGGACAAATGTTTTGGACTATTTGTTTATTTAGTTTGATTGGGCTTATCTTGAAAGAGTTTGATTTGAGGAATTCGATGTAGTGGGAACATGACCTAAATTAAAGCGTTCGATTTTAACCAGGAATTACTTTGTTTTATTTCTATAAAAATGTAAAGTTAGTTTTTGTCTTGAAGTTGTATCACTAGATGTTGATTTATTCTTTGAATTATAAGTTATGTTTTTCTCAATTTAGCTTTTCTTTGATAGATAATTCTGTTTCATTGTAAATAAAGGTTAGAATACCAAAATAAATAAA